TCCCTCAGCTCTTCAGCTCAAGGCTAGCGCTCTACCACTTGAGCCACAGCGCCACTTCCGGCTTTTTTCTTTTTGCTTATGTGGTGCTGGGAATCCAACCCAGGGCCTCAGGCATGCAACGCAAGCGCTCTACCACTGAGCCACCTTCCCAGCCCCTGGGATCCTGTAGTTTAGACCTGAATGCCACCTCTCTATAGGATAGCACCTGGATAATCTAGAACCATTTTGTATTCAAGGAAGACTGAATGATTCTTTTCCTTGGGACAAGGATGGGGAGGGAGTGTAACTCCTTTGAGCTAAAGACACATCTGAGGTAGGAAACTAAAAGTGGGTCCTAATCCTTGCTGACCATCTTCCTCTTTTCCTTCAATCTCATTCAAATAGAATGCGAGCTAGACTTAGCCCTGAGAGACAATATCTAGGCGTAAGGTCCTTTATTTATAGGATTTTCCCATCCAGCTGATCCTTTACCCGTTCACAACCCACTCGCCACTTTGCAAGTCAGGTTCAGCCTGACGCCCACCAGGCAAGTAAAGCGCCTGCGCTCTGCGTTCCGCTCTAGTCTCTTTCCGGAGTCAAATTGGTACCTCTCCCTTTAAGAGGTTCCGCTTAAGCGGAAGAATTCGAGGGTGAGAGTTTAATAGTGCAACCTTCGAAGCTTCTCCTGATTGGTCCAGTGTGGGTAAAAGGCGGGTTGTACCAAAACCCACGTCGATGATTGGTTTTACCTCCGGTTCTGCCCTGTGAAGGAATGGAGAACGCCTGTGATTGGCCAGGAGCCTCGGAGGCGAGCCCTGAGCGTGGCCCGGGGTTTTGTGTAGTGGCGGCTGCAAGGGGTTGAGCGTTATGTCCCGTGCCGGGGGCGATGCGCGTGGGGAGGAGCGGGAGGATGGCACTGCTGCTGCCGGCTCGTTCAGCTTCAGCCCGGAGCCCACGCTCGAGGACATGTAAGCAGCCTGAGGTCGGGGGGTGACCCCTTCCCTTGTTGGGGAGGGCCCCTCCACCTCCACGTGGTTGGGAAGAAAACTTAGTTGTGCTCGGGCCCCGCCTACTCCCTGTTGACCTCTGAACCTTGTCGTGTGCAAAACGGGCTCAGCAGTGCACAACTGAAGCGGAGGAAGTGGGGTGATGCCCAGTTTGGGGGCGGTTAACGAGATCTGATACTGCCTCTGCCCATCTGGAGTTGGGGGGGGTGTTGGGCAGGGGCAGATGGACCGTCCATTGCGGGGAGACATTACTTCTTACTGGAGGAAATCAAGGAAATCTTCCTAGAGGAAGTGGCCGTAGCATTGGATAAAACAAACCAATGAGCAGAGATAGGGACATTCTGGGTAGAGGAAACAAGAATATTAGAATCAGGAGATGGCATAATAAACAATACTATTGTTAGGCTTGGCTTATGGTGAAAGAGGCAGTGACATGCTCAAAGCATCTAAGAAACTACTTGACAGGGGCTGGGAAGGTTGCTCAGTGGTAGAGTGCTTGCCTTGCATGCATGAGGCCCTGGGTTCGATTCCTCAGCACCACATAAGCAAAAAGCCGGAAGTGGCGCTGTGGCTCAGTTGGTAGAACGCTAGCCTTGAGCTGAAGAGCTGAGGGACAGTGTCCAGGCCCAGAGTTCAGGCCCCACGACCGGACCCAAAAGAAAAAAAAACAAACTACTTGACAGAATCCTTAATCCCATTGATTTATTTAGTGCTTGAGCTTGAATTTGAGACCTGAGTACTGTACCTTACTTTTTTTGCTCAAGGCTGGTACTCTACCACTTGAGCCACAGCCCCACTTTTGGTTTCTGCTGGTTAATTGGGAGTAAGAGTCTTACAGAGCTTTCCTGCCCCTGCTGGCTTTGAAACTTGATCCTCAGATCTCATCCTCCTGAGTAATTAGGATTACAGGGGTATGCTGCTGGCTTCCTAGCCCATACCCCCTTTAAATATCACTGGGATACCTGCTGCTTAACCCCATAATCCTGAGCTTGTACTTCTGCTTGCCTGTTTATTTTTTTTCCAGCCGACGCTTACATGCAGAGTTTGCTGCTGAGCGGGACTGGAACCAATTCCACCAACCTCGGAACCTCCTCCTGGCCTTGGTGGGAGAAGTGGGAGAGCTGGCAGAACTCTTGTGAGTAAATGCAGGCTTCTTGGAAGAGTGTAATGGTGGAGGCATCTACTCCATAAGAGATGGTGCTCTGGTGGGAAAAGATGGATAAGAGAACCCTGGAGTTTGGACAGGTGATCCAAAGACCACTGTGTCACAGGATAGATTGAATCACTGCCCCTTAGTTGTTTTTGTTTTTAACTCAAGGCCTGCACTATCTCTGAGCTTTTTTGCTCAAAGCTAGCGCTCTACCACTTGAGTCACAGCTCCACTTACAACTCTTTTGAAAGTTCATTGGAAATATGAATCTCATGGACTTTCTTGGGTTGGCTTCAAACCTCAGTCCTCAAATCTCAGCGACTAGTTTGGTCTAGGCTCTTCATTTTTTATAGATCAGTTGGCATTAACTGTGTGAGAGTTTTCAAAACACTGCGACAATTTTATAAAGTAACACAGGACATGAGGAAGTAACAGAGGGAAGGCTTTCTGAAGAGGTGACATCTGAATTGAGACCCAAAGGAGCCAGCCCAGGAAGAATCTAAAAAGAGCAGGAGGGCTGGGAAGGTGGCTCAGTGGTAGAGTGCTTGCCTTGCCTGCATGAGGCCCTGGATTCGATTCTTCAGTACCACATAAGCAGAAAAAGCCGGAAGTGGCGCTGTGGCTCGAGTGGTAGAGCGCTAGCCTTGAGCTAAAGAGCTGAGGGACAGCTCCCAGGCCCAGAGTTCAGGCCCCACGACTGACCAAAAATAAATAAAAAGAGCAGGAGAAAAGGCTTGCAGAGGGAGCACTAAGTGCAAAATCCTTGTGACAATTTTGCTTGTTTATGTGGCAAAGTCATCAATGACTTGGTGGACAATGAGAAAGAGGAGTGCATTAGGAAGATGAATTAAGAGGCTTCTGTGATGCTCAAGGTCTGAGGTTTGCTCTGGAGTTCCAGTGGTTGGGCTAGAGAGTAGAATGAGACTCTAAAGCTCCAACAAGTATTCTCTTGGCCACCCCTGACTCAGAAACACAGAGGTATAGCTTTTTTTTTTTTTGTCATGGGGCTTGAACTCTGGACCTGGGCACTGTCCCTCAGCTCTTTAGCTCAAGGCTAGTGCTCTACCACTTGAGCCACTGTGCTACTTCCTGTTTTCTAGTGGTTAACTGGAGATAAGAGTCTCATGAACTTTCTTGCCTGGACTGGCTTTGAATCTTGATCCTCATCTTAGCCTCCTGGGTAGCTAGGATAACAGGCCACCGGCACCTGATGAGGTGTAGCTTTTATCCATGGGGTCTTTCCCCCACACTTATACACTACCAAGGGAGGTGTGGCCCATTGTCCTATTTAGTAGCAATCTGTATCTGTCATGTTCTGTCCCCAGTCAGTGGAAGTCTGATGCAGAGCCTGGCCCTCATGCCTGGCCCCCGAAGGAACGAGCAGCCCTTCAAGAAGAGCTTAGTGATGTCCTCATCTATCTGGTAGCATTAGCAGCCCGCTGCCATGTCGATCTTCCCCAAGCAGTTCTCTCCAAAATGGACACCAACCGGCGACGGTACCCAGTTCACTTGTCCCGTGGCTCTGCCTGCAAGTATACAGACTTGCCCCATGGAGCCATCTCTGAAGACCAAAATGTGAGGCCTGCAGATGAACCCTCAACCTAGAAATACAGGACTGGGACCTACATCTCAACATGGAACCATCTCCCCCTTTCCTAACAACGGGCCTGAGAGCTCTATTTCCAGATGTCTGAGGCCCAGAACCTCTGCAGCTGCCTCCCAAGTGTTTTCTCTCCCAATAAACGGTTTTGTATAACCTCCAGATTTCTTCCTGTATAGCCAAGGAGGCTCTCTCTCAGTAGGTGCTGCCAGAAAGGGTGCCTCAATTCCCAGTTCCCACATATTCTTGTGCCTCATACCTGCAGGGTAGAGTCTGGGTTCTAGCAAAAATCTCTGTGGGATTTCAAGCAAACCTTCCACTAGATCTATAAAGAGATTAGAAACTGTGGTGCAGTGTTGGTTAAAGGGGGTAAAATGCCAGCCTTGAGAGAAAAGGCTAAGGGACAGCACCCAGGCCCTGAGTTCACGCACCAACACACACACACACACACACACACACACACACACACACA